AATTTAAATTATCTACAATTTGGGAAGTAAACCATTAAGGTTTGGATTGAAAGTGTCTTTTAATTTGAATTTTGTTTTCAGTTTTAGGTTGATGCTCTTTTCATATAATGCATAAGTTCTGACATGATTTCTATAATATTAAATGGCAGGAAGAAAAGGAAGAAAACCAAGGTGATATCCCACATGCTCGATTCCAACGAACCGATCAATGGAGACCGGTTTATATTTGGTTGGAATCTTTGGATAAAGATGAGGTGGTTAAGTCCAAAGATATATCTGACTGGCTAACTGAGAATCCAGATATACAAGAACAGTTGTGCTCTAGGCATTCTCGGTATCATTTGATGCATTACATCAAGAAGTGCCATATGAAGATACTAAAGAGGCGGGAAAAGAAGAAGGTATTGAATACTTCTTGTTTTAGCTCAATTAGCCTAGAAATTTTCAAGCGTCTGTCTGAAGATGCAGATGCTTCCTCAATTTGGACCACATCAGTAAGATTTTTTATTGTCTCAGAAGCCTTTCTTCCTTGTAACTGTGGCCTAAAAGTTCATTATCTCTGTTAAACTTGGGTACCATTGGCTTCATTCATTATTGTTGATGTCTAACTTGATGATCTTGGGAAGCATTATGTAGTTGATACATCAACTATAAGCTTCAAGTTGGTGGATGCTGTGTGCCTCTTTATGCTAGATAAATAAATTACATAAGTTGTTCTTGTTGAACAGGGTGTCCAGCAGCCTGACACACCAGCCCCTCTAAAGGTTCACAAAGATGTGTTGATGAAACAGCCAGCTCAGCTGCCATGTAAGGACCATCTATAGAGCTATGCGTTATAATTTAGGGGATATTTGAATTCCATTCTAAATGGAATGACCGGTGTGCTTTTGCCGTTTTGGCCATTCTCTAGTTTGGCCGCATTATAGAGAATGGAGCCATCACCTAAAATAAACAAAAATAAAATAAAATTGAATTCCAGGAAGTTTTGAGACTGAAAACTGTTTTAAGGAACAGAATAAACTCAATTTGAAGGCTATAATATAAGTGGCCATATGGACTATTTTAACTGCTGTGTTACATGTTGCATTTTTTCTTCTTAATTTTGTCTTTTGACACAATTCTGTTGGTTCAACCTGCTTCCCAGCTCCACTTTCTGTTTGCAATTCATTGATCAATGTACCAAAAGATAGTGATGTATATTTGACAAAACGAAAGGAAGCACTTCAGAAATACGAGATGTAAGTCAACAACTGATGTATTGTGTCATTTTATGCTCCAGATTTGCTTACTAATTAGGTTCACATGGTTTCAGCTTAGCGGAGTTGGAGAAGCTGCTTGCCCCCACCTTTTTAAAACGTGAAGATGGAAACAAATGAAGGGATTTTGAAACACCCAACTTGTGCCTGTGTCCTGCCTGCATGTTCGTGATTCTGTAATTTAGCAGGTGCTTTGCTTATTGGTTATAAGT